GTACATTTGGAAAATTTATCCTGAAACTCATTTGTACTTATCCCAGTTCATAAAATTGCAGTTTACACTGACCTGCATTTCTGGTACTTCTTGAAAGGTGTGTGGTTTCACCATTTACTGATATCTTAGGAATTTCTTTTTACTTTCTTTATGTTTTTATACCTGTAAAAAGTGTTGTAAAGCGTAGTCATTTAGATTTGGTAGCTCTTTTAGCACCCGTTCTGCACAAAATATGTATGTGTCTGCACGATGTAGGAAATAGTAGGTAATCAAGCATTTTATACTTTCTTAGACAATATCACAAAATTTTATTCACTTTAGAGTCTTTATGTAGTTGACTAGAATTTGTTTCAGCTTGGGTATTAGCTTCCTCTCTCTGTTTCCTTAGGTGATGGAACTTGGGTAATGAAATTCTAACCTTGCATAAATGGGCATGATTTCTGTCAAGTATCTGAAAGAAATGCATGAAAAATTGTTCCAAATATGTCATAGTGTTCATTTTTATTTAAAGTCAGAAATTTTTCCATCCTTCATAATGTATGTTATACTTGAAAGCTCCTGTTTCATTTACCACTATAAAATGCTGTGTCAAAGTCTATATTCTTGGTGTACTAGTTTCAGCAAGTTAGAAGCCACTATTTTATTAACAACCCTGGATTGGTTGCTCAGGGAGAAGTTTTTATTTGATCTTAAAGGAATTTTCTGTGATCAGTCCACATTACAATGGAGTGCACTTTGTCTCCCACTGATGTGGATATCTGTTCTTCCTCTGATGTTATAGTGGAGATTGACTTCTTGTAGCACTACATGTAATGAAAGAAAGACTTCAGAATTAAGAAATAAGTACAGTTCTGCAATAATGCAGTTTCAAGTAGTCTTTCCTTCTCAGTGCATATGTTTGTAAAACTGTGGATACATCTTAGCTGAAAACTTTACAAACCATTTTCTGCAAGATTTAACAGGCAAGTTTTACTAATTTCAGCACCAATTGTCATTTACCTGACATTCACCCGCTTTTCTGATTTGCATTTTTTGCCTAAACTCTTTTACCTCTAACACACCTCATTTAGACTAGCTGTCTGTTAGAAATGTATTTCAGACTGGTCACTTATGCTACTGAGACTAAAAACAGCTTTTCCATTTTGTGTTATCTTCTTTCTGTGATTATAGAATAATATGTGCTGTATTCTCAGCTCCTTGGAAGACACATGAAATTTCAATAATCTCACTAAATTCTTCTGCTAGATTTGTATTGACCCACAAATGAGATGCAGTATGAAAGGAGTTAACTACTGAGAAATTCCTATTGGAATCAGCTGCTGTACAACTGTTAATACTGAAGTTGTTTTTTATGTCCATGTTTTATTGAGTCTTGTTTCTGAGTGTATGCAGCATATTCCCTTTCCATAAATAATGATCAGTTTATTTTACTGCATAATGGAGAGATGGGAACACCTTCCTGACTTTCCTACTGGGGCCTTTTGTACTTCTAAACCTGCAGAAAGGAAACTATCTTTGGTAATCAGAAGATGTATATGCCCAGTGGTATAAAGGGAAAGACAGTCTAAATCTGTGTCTCAGTTTTTGCAGCAGCTGAAAAATTGTTATTTTACATTAATTGTGGCCTAGCTCACAGGAGGATCTAGAGATTTATGTGGAGGAAGTTGTTACTGCTTTACTGAAAAAGGAAAAAAAATCCCATTTGTTTTAACTATAAAACTTTCTGCACCTGGGTTTTCATCCTGGCTTTATGAAAATCCATCTATACATGTGTGCACTTGCTTTTCTCTAAGTGTATTGCTTTTACCCATCTACCCTTCATGGCACTTGTTAGCTCATGGTAAGAGCAGCAGAGCAATGTGAAATTTCATTTGTTTTGCTGAATTCTTATTCACAGCAGTTTCAAATTCATTTTGTTGATGTGTTTTTGGGAAATTTCATGTCTGGAGAGATTTGAACAGAGCTGAAATATTTATGGGTGCTCAATTCAGTCAGAAGTTATGTAAAATGCATTTCAAATAGCACATTTGTAAATAATGTTGGTTTGCCTTATTTCCTATAAAATGTTGCATTCTTTTTAGCTGGTATCATTCAAGCAGGATATCTGATGACAATCAGCTGCCTCTGTCTTATTCAATATTCTTTTTTTCTTTTCTTTTTCTTTTTTTATACTGGACAGCAAAAAAAAATTCTGTGGGCTTTTTCAGTGAAAATATGGTATTTTTGAGGTTAGGGATATCATTATCATATTCCTCACAGATTACTTAGTACTTTTCATATGGAGATACTGTACTATTTTTACAACTTATCAGTAATTTTATGAGGATAAAGTAATATTCAGTTTGTAATAATGGAGATACTTCTAAGTGGAGTCCCCTGATTTTGATTTTGCAGGATATACTGTTGGTTTACTGGGAGATGGATGGTTGTATTTCCAGCTTATTCTCTGAGATAGGAAGTTCACATTAAATGGACGTGATGCTAGCGGACATGGTTTAGTGGTGGACAGTGCTAGATTTATGCTTGGACTCAAGGATCTTAAATGTCTTTTTCAGCCTAAGTGATCCTATTATTATATTTTCGTTAGCATAGTCATTACTTTCATTATACTTTATTTGCAAATAGGCAAATGTATCTGGGGATGTTAAGAACAGGAAAACAGCTGAGGTACAGTGGCCTTCCCTTTAATTTTGAAAAAAAATGGTGGAAGTAAAGCATAGAGAGTGCTCCCTCAGGGGAAGAAAGGCCTTGACTTTTGTTTCTTTTTAATGGAAATGACCTTAGCATAAGACCCTGATAGTTAGAACAAACACACTTTGGGGTTTCCTTCCTTTTCGAAAACAGAGAGGAAAGTTCTTCCCATTTGTGCTTTCTCTTTTATTCCTAAGCAAAACCAAACTTTTCTCTTTTCCTAACTTTTAAACCTAATTTTTATTAAGTTCTTCTTCATGTTTCTATAATTTCCAAACTATTTCTTCTTCTTTAAGCTATAATTAATCCTCAGTATCAGAACACATTACTTTGCGTTGCTGGATGCCACTATTTGACATTTATCTCAACCTGTTTTTTCCTTTTTTTCCTTACTCCAATAAGTGTTAACAAGTCCTAAAAATCTGACAAGAATCTAAATTGTCTAAATGGTACATTTATTGTAAGGCATGCTGAATATGACAGCATCACAGCAAAAAGAGATTAAAAGAGGTCATTTGATGACTGAAATGAGAAATAAATATATCCACTGTTTACTGGCTGTTGCTGTGGAGTGTGTGGTATTAGATAGAGAATATGAATTTTATTTGTTGTGTCATTATTTAAATAAGCAGTTATTTCAGAAACAACTATGCATCTTTATATGAAACTTTAGTTAATTAAATGCTTTGCAATACCTGCTGTCTTCAGAATGTTGAGTGGCTGGTGATTCATAGTTATCTAATTTCACTGTTATTTTCTAAACCCAATTCTGTCTTATTTTGCTGTGTGTATTGAAGGCCATGTCTAGTCCCCTTCACTGATTCCAAGTGATTTTTTCCATATTCAGCAACGTTTCATTTTCTTTTGTGAGCTTTTAAGATTGACAGGTTATGCAATTATTAGTTGCAAGTCCAAAGACTAGTATCACTCCTAAATTCTAAAGACTGTTTCTAATATTTTAGAATTTTCTTTGTAGTTGTACATGTTCTCTCCAATCCTTTAAACTCACCTCTTTTACTAGTAAATTTTTCTAATAATAGAAGTGCCTTTTTAGCAAATTGCTTGTTGGCAAAATGCTCACATTGGATATGTTTAACCAGGGCTTCTCTCAAAGAAGTTTGAGAAGTTCTTAAAACAAGTGAAATAACCTTCTCAACCAATACTTGAGTGGATCACTGTGCCCAGGCAGTTGTCTGCTCTGGCATGGTTCCGGATATCTCTGGTTACCTCACTAGCACAGTAGGCAGAGCGAGTTGTAACTTGGCAGTGTGCTCCAGAAAATGTTATATGCAGTAGAAGCAGTAATGGAGACATGGTAGATTCTTATTTCAGTCAGAGTTACTGTGTGTGATTTGTTTGTACCTGCATCTCCTACTTTGCTAAGTATTCAGGAACACGTTGTGTTCATTTAGTGAAGCTGTCCCAGATTACTGATATTTTGGGCTAAGGCCAGTAGTGTGAGGCTCAACAAGGCCAAGTGCCAGGTCCTGCACTTGGGTCACAACAACCCCATGCAGTGCTACAGCTTTGGGAAGAGTGGTTGGAAAGCTGCCCAGTGGAAAAGGACGTGGCAGTGTTGGATGACAGAAGCCAAACATGAGCCAATGAGTGCCCAGGTGGCCAAAAAGGCCAATGGCATCCTGGCCTGGATCAGCTATAGTGTGGCCAGCAGGAGCAGGGCAGGGATTGTGCCCCTGCACTGGGCCCTGGTGAGGCTGCACTTGAGTACTGTGTTCAGTTTTGAAAGACATTGAGGGGCTGGAGTGTGTCCAGAGAAGGGCAACAGAGCTGCTGAAGGGTCTGGAGCACAATTCCTGTGAGAGGCAGCTGAGGGATCTGTTTAGTCTGTGGAAAGGGAGACTCAGAGAGGACCCTCTCTCTCTGTACAAGTACCTGACAAGAAGTTGTAGAAAGATGGAGGTCAGTCTCTTCTCCCATGTAACAAACAATGGGACCAGAGGAAATGGCCTCAAGTAGGGCATAGGAAGGCTTAGATTGGCTTTAGGAAAAGTATCTTGTTGGAAAGGATTGTCAAATACTGGAACAGCCTGTCCAGGGAAGCTGTGAAGTAACCATCCCTGGAGGTATTTTAAAGACATGTGGCACCTGGGGGCATGATTTGGTGGTGGACTCAGCATTTTTAGGTTAACATTTCAACTTGATGATTTTAGATATCTTTTATAATCCAAAAAATCATATTATTCCATATGTACTTGTTGTTCAAAATGAAATTTCATCAATCAAAACTCTTTTGTACTCCTCAGCTAAGTTTATATTTATGCTTGTTTGTTTTTTTTTCTCCTTGGCAGCCTAAAGCATCACAAGGGCCATATTGTTCAGGATTTCAGAGAGCAATCGTTTATCTTTGTGGATACAAGTAAACGGACAATGGTGTCCCGACCATCTGCTCAAGCTGCTTGAGAACAGTCTTCTGTGCAAATGGCATGAAAGGTAATTTAACCTCAGAAGGTGCCCACAGAGCTCCAGTTCTGTTTACCATTGTGTCTTTGCCAGTCTAAAAATAAATCATGCTGAATAAAAACATGCTTTTTTCTTTCCCAATTTAAAGAACACATCATCATCAGAGCTAATTTCAGCTAATTTTACCACAAGGTCTTGTTTTTCCTTTCTAGTATTTTTTTTAAGTAGCAGATAGGTTTCCTGGGATAAATGGTATCTGTCTTATAATTGTGTTTGTTGCTGTAGGAGGCTGTTGTCTTTTAGAGTACAAAATCGGGTGTAATCATGAAGTGGTACTCAGTGCTGAGTGATACACACTTTCAACATATCAGCTCTAATTCTGCCATGACCCCTTGTTATTTTGTTTTGCTAGCCACTCTGTTTAATTGGGGAAGGCAGAACTGCTAGTAAGCAAGTTTTTATTTGCAGAGGTGGTGAAGAAAATGAAGAGTACCTTTGTACCTTTTCTGGATGCCCTCTTTCAAAGCCTCACTTGAATTAATTTCAGTCTCTGGTCCCAGTAAAACTCTGAAAAGATTTAAAGTTTCACTGCCATTAAAAAACTTCTATGTGTGTGTATACATTTATATATATATATTAAATATTATATATTTATATATAAAATAGCCAAATGAGGGAAAAGCAGTTATTTTCTCAAATTCAATACATATTTTAGGCTAGAAAAGAAGGGCTTGACATTCATCTCACTTTCAAGGGTTTTGCAGTTCCTGCTGGCTATGGTGGGTACTCTCAGGACTAGCAAAAGCAGCATCTGGGTGCTGCCCCACAGCTTGAAGTGCTGTATTATCTTCTGCCGTCTGCTGTGCTCATTTCTTCTGTTCAGTGCTACAGATAAAGCAGTTTCTGGCTCCTCCATGCTCTCTTTGTACATTCCTCCTGCTTTATGGGTGGTCAGACTGGTCCATGATGTGAGACTGTTTTCTGGCAAAGTCTGGAGGTCAGATCAGACCTTGTAGAGCATGTTCTCTGGGATGCTGTTGCTGCACAGTCATCTGGCATGCTGCTGTGGGAGGAGAAGTAGAAAATGCATTTTCCTGGCTGCTTTGTGAGATAACTTGTTCTGAGGGCAGGTGGGAATGTCAGCAGCAAAAGAAGGTAGATAAAATCTGTGTTCAAGAATCAAACTTGGATTAAACGAAAAATGGCAATGGTGTGTTTGTGAGAAGAGAAGTAGGTCTCATCTGATTTTGTTGCTTATTTAGCTACACTGTTTTAGCTAACCTAATAAAATACAGTTTCTTGCTGTAAAAAATACATTCTGGACAGAAAATGGACCAGATTCTTGATTTAATTGCTAAAGAGTATCCAGTCTTGATGGTGTCAAGCTTTTGCTCCAACTTAACAACATAAGCCTGATTCATACTTTTCTTGGACATTTTCACTTGGATTTATTTTTTTAAGCAGAAGAGGTGGAACATGACAGATTTGAAAATGTTTTATATAGCTTTCAACAAGAAGCAATTTATAGCAACTTGAAGTTACATAACTTCTAACTCCACTTTTTTCATGGCATGATTTAGATAGATCTGGTACTTTCACAATAATTCAAAGGAATATGCAATCAGTCAATCCATCTTATCTATTTTAAGCATTTCCAAGGAACCATCACAGTAGTTTCTACATTCTAAATCTGAATACAAGTGACAGTTTGCCATAAACAAGTATTTTGCAAAATATCAAAAAAGAAAAAGAGATTATTCATTTATGAAATTAAACCTTCCTCTAATAAAGGGATCCCACAGTATTTCTCATGCTGCTCACGACAAAGTTAGTATTAATTTATGCTTTAGGTAAAAAATTACTTAAGGAAAAAGTGTGTTTTTCATAGGAAGGTGATGAGATTCTTCTCCAGCAATAGCTAACTTGTAGATTTGTCAGACCCCACAATTATGAGAAAGACAATGGAGTATTACCTTTCATTAATTTTATTGGCCTAGATATAGAGCAAATGAACACAACAAAATTTTTCACAGAGCAATATTTAGGATAATATAGGAATTCATTCAGATGGCTTCATAATACTTGAAGCCAGAGGTAGTTTGGATTCTCTCATAAAGTAGTTTATTCAAACCATTTTGCAAAATTGTTCAACTGAATTGTTGAACTTTTAATCAGTTGAATAATTCATGAACATTCTTTTAAAGGAATTTAATAAAAGCATTATATGAATACTTTCACAATGTTGTACCTATAGTAGTGTCACAGTAATCCTTCAACCTCAGCTTGCACTTCTGTGCAGTTGGAGTGTTTGTGTTTTGCATCATTTGATCTAAAAGAAGCCATAAGGTTGTGTAGGGCAGAATTAGGCATTTGTCTGGGATAGATTATTCTGCTGAGAAAAACAGACTAAGTTGAGAAAAACATTAGAAGTACCAATCAAAAGCTAGAAAACAAAACAAAACAAAACAACTGAAAATAAACCCAACAATCAGAAAATGGTGAAAATTAAAGAAAATGAAAAGCAGAATAAACAGCCTGTGTCTCAGGAATATTTTCTGCTTTTGACAATATTATCATATTTACTTAAAATCCTGGAATTTTCATTTTTTGTTCATACTTTTTCCACATCTGCAGGGTAGATTTCACTATTATTAGTTTACTTTTTCAATCCACATGGAAATTTTCCTGGAAAAAAATAAGAGGAGTATTAATAGAAGTTATTGAATTTATTTGGAGATTTTTTTAAGGTCAAGGGCTGCCACTGTATTTCAAAGCTACAACAAATGAAAATCTCTGCTACTCTCAAGAGAAATAAGTCTAGAAGGCCCTTTTAGTTTTCCACAAAGTATGGAAACCCTGAATATTTGAGAAGTCAGTTTATCTTCTGTTTCTCAAAAGGTACATGTTAGTTTTGTATGTTATTTTTGCCATTTTTTCGAGCAACATAGCAGTGTTAGATTCACAGAAAGAAGGAATTAGAGATTATGTAGGATTTGACTTCTACCTCTCATCTCTTCTACCTCACAGACCATGTTTGGCCTTCGTTTGTTGTTGCTTTTTAACATTTCCTAGATGAAGTGGTCAGGATAAGGAAGGCGTAGAAAAATTTTGTTACTCTCTCAGGTGGAACTTCTGTCATTAATGTGTATATGATTGGAAGCCTGAGACAAAATGTGAAGAAGCTGCTTCCCAATATATGGTGGTACCATTTCATGGTTCTCACCCATACCACTGAGCACTGACATTTCATTTAATGAGCTGTAATTGTCTGCTGTCATCTCTCATGATCTTAGGCTGTGGCTGGGTTTTAGTTTGTAATGAGGACACTTTAGTGCAAGCATATGTTGGTGTCTAAATGCTTTCTAGGTGTCTAGATTCTCAAATAGTCAATGTACTGCATGTTTCCATGGTAGTCAGGCCAAAAGAATGATAAAAATATCCATCTCCTACAGGTTCAAATCACTGGCACCTTTGTATGCCTCTAGGATCATTCAAAATGTGGCGGTGTGCTTGAGACATCCATGTGGGATAGATAAATATGCCACGGGACCTGTAGGAGACCTGCAGCCTTCTAATGGGCTTGCTGGAGCCAGGAAGGAATGTTCCAAGGTATTTCTGACCCCAACAGAACTGGGCCTTAGCTATCTAAGTAACAGCAAACTTAAATATCTTTCTTGCATGTAGACAACAGATGCTGGGTGTGTTAATCTGAAACTGAACTCCATGATATGTAACAGTGCCTTTATTGGATTTCCTGCAAACAGCCTCACTGACGTGAGAATCATGCAGAGAACTAATGAGATTGAGGAAAGTCATCCAGGTTTTGTCTGGTTTGCTGTGGTCCTTTATAGGAATCTGACATTACTATACCATACCATACCTAAGGGAACATTTCAGGAGTGGACCCATGAAAATTTGGCTCCAAACCACTGCCAGTGCAAATGTTCTGGCAAATTGAGGTGCAGAGGCAGGAACTCAGCTTAATGACCATGAGTTGAAACAAGAGGTTTAGAATGACTAGAAGGAGGAGCATTTTCACTCTGAGGACAAGCAGGTGCTGCGTTGTGTTGTTTAGAGATCCTGTGCTGGCTCTGTTCTCTGGTGTGTTCAAGACCCAGCTGGACAAAGCCCCAAGCGCCCAAGCCTGGTCTCACAGCTGAGTCTGCTTGGAGCAGGAGCTTGAATAGAGACTGCCTGATGTCCATTCCTACCTGAATTTTCTTATGATCTCAAGATATATTATTTCCAGAAGTGAAGCCAATAGCTTTTCTGTTCAAGCCCAATTAGACAAAGACAGGAAAATTATTTCCCTTAACTGAAGGTGCAAGGATAGTAATTTTCATTTTCTGGTGAGTACAAGTGGCCCCAGAATTAATTGAACTAACCCTGTTGTGGTACAACAAAGGGTTGGGAATTAAAATGGTTTGTGACATTTTCTATGTTACAACAAGCATTAAAAAATTGTGAAGGCAGTTTAACTTGCAAGTAGAAATATAGCATTTTCTCAAAATAAGGAAAACACAGAAAAAGAAATTTTGAGTTAGTCTAGAACATTTCTTCTCTTGTTTCCTCATCTTAGTGGAGCAAAACTGTCACCATATATTTAAGGAAACATTTAAATAGGCTTTATTAACACCCTAAATAAAACCATACTGTATTTCTTTAGTAACAAAATACATATGGCAGATAACCTGGCACATATTGCTAGCTTTCTCTATATAAAAAAATATAATTACTTATTTTTGTATTATGACATATTTTGAATTATGTCACATCAAATGAGAGCTGCATTACGCAAAAAAATACTGAATTACTTTTTGCCTTTGCTACTATGCTTTTGCCACTTTCACTAAAAGTGAAAAAGAATGTAGGAAATCTCAATTCCTTGACTAGTGGGCAAAAACAAAGGATGTTGCAAAAGTATGCAAAATGATGCATAAATGGAGAACCTGTCTAACAGTAATGTTTTGGATAAAAAAATTGTGGGTTCAAATCAAAAATATTTTGAAAATAAATAAAATAGTAAAGCATATTTATCACAGTAATAAAAGCAACAGTAGATTTAATGTATTTTGTATGAATTCAAAGGGCAGTGTTTAAGCAGGCTCTGGAATGTGGAACAGTGATCTTTGATTTTTAGTGTAAGCCAGTTGCATACTTGAGTAGAAAGGTGGCTCTGAGTGTTTGAATTTTGGTTACTCCTATCTATAAGCAGAGCTCCTGTAGCACTGAGCTGGTGACCTCCTTCCCAAAAAAGCCTGACATATGCCACAAGACTAGGTAGGATGCTGAAGGTTGTGTTGCCTCAACAGCTTCAACAGCCACAGACAATTTAGAGTGTGCTTATAATGCTACTGTTCTTTTCCTACAACTAGGAGAAAAAGTAAAATTCTAGTGGAGTGTAACCAGGACAGACACTAAATAGCTACCAAAGGAACTTTGTTCCATCAAAATGTTAAAGGCTGTCTGCAAGAACTTAACTATTTTCAGTGATATGTTCAAGAAAATACAGATCAGTAAATATCAGAATGAGCTTTTTAGTCATTTGCCATGTCCCAAAATTCTTTTCACACTTTTTCACACTGTCAACAATCCTTTAACTGTTCTAAAATGTCTTATGCTAGTTTCTGAGAAGTATAGCACTGAAGTTCCTGAACAGTTGATTACAGTATAGTCATTGTTATTGTTTTTGGATTTTTCCCTTTTGTAGTAATGGATGTTGTGCATTGGTGATCACTAAAACTTTATAAGAAGATGTATTTTATCTCAGTGGTTTAATATCCAACTCCCATGCCCTCAAGCATGTTTTTTTCTTTTTTATCTGTTCTATTGTTTTCAAGCTACCAGCTGTGGAGTTTGTTCTGATTGAACCTTGAGCTGATCAAATATGCTGTCAGTAGCATAAAGTCAGATAAATATACACATCATTATAGTGGTTCTGGAGAATGCATGCATGCATGTTTCACACATAAATAGTTTAATAAAAAATTGAATTGTTTGCTGGTATTTTCATCTTATCTAGTGAAATGGGATGATCCATTTAACTATTTCTAATTTTTCAAAGTGTTTAGTTATACACAATCATTAGTTCCAGCTGGGGTCTCTGTTTATGTGAACATATACATATATATAAATATATACAGAAGTAGAATCTTGATTTCTGTTTGATTTGTTCCTCTACTGCATCTTTTACCTGCTGCTCAATTTTTTTTTTACTCTAATGCATTTTGATGGGTTTTTTTTTAAATGTTCTGCAATAGAAATGCTGCTACATTTCTCAGATATTTGCAAACACATTATCTTTTAGTCCAATATGGCCCATCTTTACAAATGCAGAAATTGGTATGTTTAAAGAGAAATGGGTAGTAGTTTTTTGGAGTTTGTTTTTTGTGTGATTTTTCTTTCACATATAGGCTACCACTTGTCAGCTACAACTATGCTGCCTAGAAAATACATCATCCCAGAAAGAGCGGTATTTTAAGTGTATATTTTGAATTGCTATTTAAAAGTGTTGGTGTCTGTAAAAAACTAATAATTTTATTTGTAGTTGGATCAAATTTATCAAGCAAAGAGTCTTAGATACAACATTTGGGTATGATTTGCTCTGCCATGTTGAGGTTAAAGATGTGTAATGTATATTTTTTTTGTCTGATATATCTTGGAAAGTGTGGCATTTCACTAATAGAAATGGTATGGCAAAGCATATAAGCCTTATTTTAGTGCTGTAATAGTGAAATCAATATCAGAATTATCTTTTGTATTGCTGTAAATTACAGCCAGTAGTTTCCAGAGGAGAGGGGATACCTCTCATACATGATTAGCTTTTGAAGTGAAAAGAATATGAAGGTTCCATAATTAAACCTTGGCAAATCTTGCAGTCCGCAAGGAGCATGGTGCTTTCTTTCAGGCTTCTTCAGAAATAAGACACATTCCTTTTATAGTGTTTATTTGCAAATTTGCAATTGAAATGGACATGATGTCTTCCACTTCAAAACCTATTGACATGACAGGTGTTAATTCTTGGGGGAATACCAACATTTTAATATTCTTTCAGTGTGCTTCTATTTCAGCACTTTAAATTGAGTCATTAAATATTTCTGATGGTTCTAAATTTTTAGAAAAAAAATAGTTCAGTCAAGTCAGTAAATCATTTTGTCATTAGGAGGGCCTTGAAGGATTGTAAGGTGATGAGATTTATTCTTACTTCATGTGAAAAAATTACATTTGCAGCATGATAGATCCCCTCTGGAATTAAATCTTCCTTTGAATTGGCCATCAGTGCATAAGACAATGAAATTACAAAAAGTAATATAAGTATTGGAATGTTAAAATTATAGTAATTCGTAGTTTTAATCTTTAAGTAGCATTTAGACTACTCCACTAAAAGAAGAAAGGATAGAATGTGCATGGGAATGCTTGAGTAATAGGTACAAGGGATTTCAGGGCATTACAACAATAAATAGGTTAATATCAAACAATATTGGTATTGTCGAAAGTTACAATATGCTAATGTTCTTTAGGAAGCTTGAGTTGAATTATTTAGTGATTTTACCTTGCTCATGGAATATTATCTGTTTCATTAACTATATCCATTGCAAATGGGATATTTCTTTTCTGGGCAGCTTTAGTGCAATAGTTAACCACTAAAAAGTCAAAGAAACTAAAGGGGGGGTTGATAGTAAATTTTTACATGAGTAGGAATTTATAGATGTGTTTTTTCTATGATGTGGGTTATTCTTGAGCTTGGAGAACTTCAGTCCAGGTGACTGCATCGTGTGTCCTATTAAACACAGCAGTGGTCAACAGACAGCTCTTTACAGCCTTATCTTCTATTCCTTGTTTCATCGCAGAGCAGATATCCCATGGAATTGACTTCTCCAAGGCTCCTCAGAATAATAACTGTTGGAATTTAAGTCTGGTTGAGGCTTCCATTCCACAGGGTCAGCTTGTTTGGGTGGTTCTTCCAGAGAAGCAAGAATATTTGCAATTGCAGGAACACCATGTTTCTGGACCTTAGAACTTGTTCTGGCATTTGCAACTGGCCAACATAAGTCACTATGTGGAACCTTCATTTTTGTAGATGAATAGGCTGCTGGCTCTGTGTTTCAAGCATAAATTCAGTTTTATGAAAATAGTCACAATAAAGTTAAGATGAACTCTTACAGTTACTAGCATCACAGGAAAAAGTGTTAGGTCATGTCTAAGGCAGAATTAGACAGTGTATACATAAATTACAGTTAATAAGTTAAAATAAAATCTAATGTTGCTATTGGATTGTCTCTGTTAAAGGAACTTCATAAATATTCAAGCTTTATTTTAAACAATTACAATGGGCGTTCTTCCATTCAGCGCCCATTTTTGTAGTTCTTAAGTGAAGTCATCACCCAGCTGCCTCATCACCTATATTAATGAAACATAATATATCTACGTGTTTCAGAACTGAAAGTGAAGGAAATCTAATGATTGAAATCTAACAGGAATTGAAAGGAGACTAACAGATCTGTATTATGTTCAATAATACTTAAGGAGACTTTTTCTCCCTTTTTACTTATTTATTCCAAACAACCTCTCTTCTGAGACTGACCCCTGCTGGATGCTTTATTTTTTTT